GTGAAAATTATTTTTAAAAAAAAAAAGTAAAAGAAAGTGAAAAATAAAAAAAAATAAAAGTAAAAGAATGTGAAAATTTAAAAAATGAAAAGTAAATGAAAGTTGGAATTAAAAAATAAAAGTAAGGATAGCTGAATTTTTTTTTAAAAAAAAGTAAAATTAAGTGGAAATTAAAAAAAAGAAAAGTAAAATAAATGGGAAATAAAAAAAGAAAAGTATAAAACTGGGAATTTAAATATAATAAAAGTAAAAAACATAAGAAATTAAAAAATAAAAGTAAAGGAAAGGAAAGTGGGGAATTATTTTTTTAAAAAAAATAAGAAAAATGGGAAGTGAAAATTCTTTTTAATTAAAAATAAAAAATAAAAAAAATAAAAAAAATCTGAAAATTCCGAAAATTTTTCTATAAATAGAAGAGAAATGTGAGGAAAAAGAGGAAGGGAGAGAGAGAAAAAAATAGGGAGGAAGGAATTGAGAGAAATTTATTTTCTTCTTCTAGGATAAGGAAATTTCTACTCGTGTCATTCTTTTTTCGCCTTTCTTTCGAAAAATCCAGCAAAATCACCCCCAAAAAATAGCTTTAAACCCAGCAAAAACAAGTCACTAAATCACCGGTCTTGCAAGGTCGATCGGGGTTGCAAGTTGCGATTTTTTGTTCGAGGTTTCGTGGCCGGTGAAAGATCCAGTCAACACTCGTCGAATTGTTTAGCGCTCTTGTAATTTCAACTTTGTTAATTTATATCAAAGGTCCGTTATTTCCCTTTCTTCACTGATTATAATTGTCCATTTACCTTGTTGTCTATTGGTGTGAAGTAGTAGTTCACTCTATTCATATTTGGATCATTTGAATCTGATTGTTTCCTTGTTCATATGTTTATTGGACCATGATGTTAATTTTAGAGTTGCAAAGTTTTGTTTTGAGTTGATTTAACCGGATAAAGGGTCTATTGAATCACTGTAATTTTTTTTGTTTACTAATTTTGTTCATGAGATTGTGGTGTCATTAGTTTTGTTTAAGAAATATACAGAATATGGGATAATGGGTTGGATAATTTGCTTGGGCCACGATTTGTTTCTAAGAAAATTGGTTTTTGGGTTGTTGGAGAATAAAAGATTTTGGGCCAAATGATTTAGTCTCATCAGGCCCAAAGTAATAAATAACATAGTTGGCCATCTTTCTCTAAACTAGCCCATTTTTCTATAGATAATAAATCTAATTCTTCCACAAATAATTACATACCTCATGACCTTACAATAATCTCAAAATTAGTAATTGAATAATATTCGAACATCGTAGCTTGCTTTAGGCGCAATTAATAATAAATCATCGTGACTGTGGGTACGGTTCCCGTGGCATGGTCACGATACGTAATCCCCAATTCGAGTGTGCGTTTCAAGTGACTCGACCACAACTTCAAACAATAATAAATAAAATTAAACGCGTTGTAGATTGCGGGTGCGTTTCACGTGACGCGATTTGCGATGTGTATAAACCACGAGTGTAGGACAACGTAACTCGTCTAATATTAATTCCATAAAAGTTTAAAATGCAGTAATGTAATAAAAGCGGTAAAAGGAATAAAAATGCACATATAGGTTTAAAACATGTATTAAATCAAATAACTAGGCCAATTATTAATAGTTGAGTGACCGTGCTAAAACCACGGAACTCGGGAGTACCTCACACCTTCTCTCGGGTTAACAGAATTCCTTACCCGGTCTTCTGTGTTCGCAGACCATAAATAAGAGTCAATTTTCCTCGATTTGGGATTCTAAAATAAATCGGTGACTTGGGACACCATAAATTATTCCAAGTGGCGACTCTGAATAAATAAATAATCTCATTTCGAATAATGTCAATTAAATTGGAAAAAACTCCCTATCCCCTATCCCCTATCCCCTCGGAAAAAAGGAGGTGTGACACTTACCAAACCATGCTCGAGTGGACTGTTTCAAACCATATAGTGACCTGCGCAATCTGCACACACAACCATTAAACTCCCCCTGAGCAACAAAACCAGGTGGTTGCTCTATATAAACTTCTTCCTCAAGATCACCGTGGAGAAAAGCATTCTTAATGTCTAATTGATAAAGAGGCCAATGACGTACAGCAGCCGTGGACAAAAGAGACGAACAGATGCTACTTTAGCCACGGGAGAGAAAGTATCACTATAATCAAGCCCAAAAATCTGAGTATATCCTTTTGCAACAAGACAAGCCGATCAACCAGGCCATCCGGGCCGACTTTGACTGCATAAACCTAACGACAACCAACAGTAGACCGGAGGAAGAGAAACAAGCTCCCAAGTGCCACTCGCATGTAAAGCAGACATCTCGTCAATCATAGCATGTCGCCATCCTGGATGAAACAGTGTCTCACCTGTAGACTTAGGGATAGAAACAGTGGACAAAGAAGATATAAAAGCATAATGAAGTGACGACAGACGATGATAACTTAAGCCGACATAGTGGGGGTTAGGATTAAGTGTGGATCGTACACCTTTGCGGAGTGCAATTGGTTGACTAAGAGGAGACAAGCCCGCAGTAGGTGCAGAATCTGATGCGGGGCGTGAATCACCTGGGCCTGATGCTGGATGTGGACGACGATGATAAGTCAAGAGTGGTGGAGCTGCAGAAGGTTGAACTGGATTATGTGGAGGAACTGGAGCTATAGGTTGTGGAGTTACAACCGGAGCTGTAGGTGGTGGAACTGGAGCTATAGGTGGTGGAGCTACAACTGGAGCTGTAGGTGGTGGAACTGGAGCTATAGGTGGTGGAGCTACAACTGGAGCTGTAGGTGGTGAAGCTGGAGTGACTGAATTTCCAAAAGATGAAACTAGTAGTACTTCAGAAATATCTAAGTGATGACCTGAACCTGTGAAGTATGATTGGGTTTCAAAGAAGGTAAAATCAGCGGACATAAGGTACCGCTGGAGGTCAGGAGAGTAGCATCGATACCCCTTTTGTGTTCTCGAGAAACCCAGAAATACGCACTTAAGAGCACGAGGAACTAACTTATCTGTTCCTGGAGTAAGGTTATGAACAAAACAAGTGCTTCCAAAGATATGGGGTGGAAGAGAGAACAAAGGTAAGTGGGGAAACATGACAGAGAATGGAACTTGGTTCTGGATAGCTGAAGATGGCATACGATTAATAAGATAGCAAGATGTAAGAACTGCATCCCCCAAAAACGCAACGGAGCATGAGATTGTATGAGTAGGGTACGAGCAGTTTCAATAAGATGTCTATTCTTTCTTTCAGCTACCCCATTTTGTTGAGATGTGTACGGACAAGATGTTTGATGAATAATCCCATGAGATTTCATAAACTGCTGAAATGGGGAAGACAAATACTCTCGGGCATTATCACTACGAAATGTGCGAATAGAAACCCCAAATTGATTTTGAATTTCAGCGTGGAAGGTCTGGAAAATAGAAAACAGCTCAGATCGATTTTTTATCAAAAATATCCAAGTGCACCTGGAATAATCATCAATGAAACTGACAAAGTAGCAGAATCCTAAGGTGGAACTGACCCGACTAGGACCCCAAATATCTGAATGGACTAAAGTAAAAGGTGACTCTGCTCGATTATCAAGACGCCGAGGGAAATGGGAGCGGGTATGCTTACCGAGCTGACATGACTCACACTCTAGAGCTGACAAGTGAGATAAACCAGATACCATTTTCTGAAGTTTTGACAAACTGGGATGTCCCAACCGTTTATGTAATAAATCTGGTGAATCAGTAACAGGACAAGTTGTAGAAGGAAGACAAGATGTGAGTCCATGTGATTTAGCAAGGATAAGGTAATAAAGTCCGTTTGATTCACGCCCGGTACCAATGATCCGCCCCGTACTGCGTTCCTGTATAAAAACATGGTCATCAAGAAATAAAACAGCGCATTTAAGTGATTTGGCTAAGCGACTAACAGCTATGAGATTAAAAGGACTATTGGGAACATAAAGGACTGAATCTAAAGGTAAGGAAGGAAGTGGGCTTGCTTGACCTATTGCAGTTGCCATGGTTTGAGACCCATTGGCCATTGTGACTTTTGGAAGAGATTGAGAATACGAAATAGTAGTGAAAAGAGATTTGTTACCAGAAATATGATCTGATGCACCTGAATCAATGACCCAAGACTCAGAGGATGAAGATTGGGAGAAACAAGTCACGCTATTACTTGTTTGAACAACAGAAGCTATCTCAGAAGATGTCTGCTTACATGCTTTATACTGAAGGAACTCAATATAATCTGCTAAAGAAACCATCCGACTATTCAAAGCATCGGTTCCCATGTCGATACAATTTGTAGTAGTAGGGTTAACTTGAAATAGTGAAAATAAGTAACTCCTGTGAGAAAACTGAAGAAATAGCTTAAAAAACACTGTTTACAGCAGGAAAACAGAACATTGTTATGCGCCGAAACACGGTTCATGCCGGAAACACTGTAGCTCGCAGGAAAATTCCAAAGTTGTCGGAATTTGTCGTAACCAGGATGGATAGATTCGGAATTCCTTTGCGAGCAAGCTGTCCTGAAAAAATGTTTTCAAAAAATGGCCGGAAAGGTCACTGTTCACGCCGGAAAAATATAAAACTGGTCGGAATTTGATTTGAATTAGATGGGTAGGCTCGGAATTTTGAGGAGAGCACACTGTCCTGAAGAAGCTTCGCGAAAAAAATGGCCGGAAAGTGGTCGGAACCCTCGCCGGAAAAATTGTTGTTGCCGGCGCGTGGAGGAGCGTGGTGGTNATACAATACAAGAGGTCCCTATTTATAGTTATACACTACAAGGAGATATTACTCATCTTCCAATATGGGACAAGACTACACTATACATATCTGTAAACTAACAATTAGGGTAAAGTGTGCTTAGTCAGGTGTAACGAGAACCAAAGATAATAATTGAGTGATCAAAGTAGTAAATTTTTTCCCAATAAAAGTAAGGAAAAAACTAGCTTCAAATGATAAATTCTGAGAAATTGACGAAAGAAGCCTTACGTTCCAGTGACGTTATTTATCCTTTCAATTGCTCGTTCTCTTATTTGTGATGCTTCCAAATACCTATCTAGCTCAGAACGAGTCCTGAAATGACATGGAAAAGCTGTAGGGGAACTTATTGAGCATGTACCCTTTTACGTAGTAAAGGAAGAACGCTTAAGTCTTGACAAGGTTTGGTAGACACCAAAACTAATAAGAGGCTTACCAGTACAAGAGAGAGTAAGGCTGTCTAGGCAAGGCAGAAATATAGTTACTCCATCTTGAGTATTTCATGAGGCTTGCCTCGCTAATTAAATATGTAGCAAGAAAAGGCCAATCTGGAACATTGTACTGTTTTAACACAGCACCAACCTCAGGGTTGCTCCATTTCTGGCATCACCAGCACATAGCAAGACAGGAAAAAAAACCTCCGTTGGTACCAGAATTCATAATATTTTAAATCCAAAAAGTACATAGATTTAAATAATGGTAACTGTATCTGTTGTATTCTAGATACTTTCGTTATGCCCCTCCCATCTGATTTACTTGAATTAGGAAGGGCTCGTGTCTTAAATCTCACAGCATTGAACATATGAAACCTGAACCGGTGATCACAGGTTGCTATTTGCCATAGTGTTTAATGTTAACCATCTTTTAAACACATGGAAAACCGTTTCCCCTTTCTCATTTTTCCCCTTTAGTAAACCAACTAATCCACAACTAAACAAGGAGAAACAAAACATTTCAGTTTGCAGTTACTCAGTATGCTGTAGAACCTATACTTACACATGTATAGCATGGCATCTAAACCAGTAACTAATTAAAAACTTTAAGGATACCTAATTCTTCCGTTATCTCTACTGATATACAAATATATAAGTAACACTTGAGATCCATTTGTAGCCATTCTGCCTCCAAGCTGCACTAATGACTAGTATGATTCTGAGAATAAGAACAATGGTAAACATTCCAGTGGTATTTCAAGTATGGGGTATGAGAAATATTTGTTTATAAAAGAATCAACTTTACTATTTAAGAAATGCAATTCAGATGTGTGGCTAGTATAATTGTTTGGAAGAAAGGAAATTCAGAGGAAAAGAAAGATGTCATCTTGTTATTGCACTCCTTCTACCTGGAGATGGCTATTTTTTTGTTTGTGTGCGAGCGTATATATGTTGGTATTCGGACCAACTTGCTCATACTTGCCTAATCCATTGGAAGTTACTACAACCCCCACAAGTACATGTGAAGGGTAAATCGGTCCATAAACCAAATTTTGTAGCTGGAATTCCAACTTGAGATCTCAAGGTTATTACCCTATGCAATCAACAACTCAACCATCCCTAGGGGTTAAGGGCTATAAACTATATATGACAGAGTTTGCCAACTGAGGCAGACAATCACGGCAATCTTGATGTATTAGCAACTGACAATCATGGGAAGCCAAGGTTTACACTTTATTTCCATGTCCTAAAAGTCCAACTAAGCTAACCTAGCATGAGATACACTGCAATGTCAAGAAGTTAGAGCTGAAGTGCATCAACATCCAATTTCTAGTCCGATTGACCTTCACCTTAATGACTTCTATACCAGACAGGTAATGAAATATTAGTTTCATGTTCAAATTTGTTCCACATCCTGTCTTATTAAACTGTAAGTCCTTCAAAATCTCTGCGATCTGCAACATGTAATAGTAATACAAGTAGAGTACTTTATATGTCAGGGAAAATTACCTATTTAGCCTGTAAACATGATCCTACTTCTGTTCATTGAAAATAGTTCTTACAGAGGATCATTCTAAGTTAAGACTGTTACATTTCATGTTACGATCTCAAGTTTTCCACCTCAGTTGGTTACTCAGGCTCCCAGACAGAAATTAGGATTTGTTAATGAGCAGTTATGTTCGTTGCAGGGATACAAAACAACTTAATTAACATCTGATTTACAAATTAAAATTTCCCTCTTAAGCCCCCGGTCTTTCGTATAATAGTAAGAGTGCAACACGTGATGTGTGGATTAGGTGCACCTCATGAGTTCGTACCCTGCTTGCTATCTAAGCGGAGAAAGGTCGATGGCCGGGCCCATTATCCACCGAGTTTAATTATAGCCCCGCTAATTTTACTTCAGGCCAAGTTCAAATATCAAACAAAAGACTACTCCATTTGTTTCAATTTATATGACATATTTTCTTTATTATTCTGTTGCAAAAAGAATGATACATTTCTATACTTGAAAACAAATTAACTTTAAACTTTACGTTTTACCCATTTTACCTTAATAAAAAACTTTTATAACCACACAAATATCATGGCTCTACAAAACTTTTTAACTTTATGTTTTTAAAACCACAATTTCAAAAGTCTTACTTTTTTCTTAAACTTCTTGTCGAGTCAAACTAAGTCACATAAATGGAGGAGTAATAACTTTACCGAGTCAGCAGTGATGACAAGTGAGGGAGGAACAAAGAGCAACTTTTCCCCTTTCCTAATATTCTTAAGAGCAACAAGGCCTCTTTCTCCAACATCCACTCTTTGTATGCCCATTTTCTGTTCAGGCAACCCCGAATCCGACAACCATTTCTGCAAAGTCGACGCATTTTCGAGAGAATCAATGTCGCAGCCCCACGGAAAATTCTCTGTTTTTGTCGGTTTGGTAGTTTCAGCTGCGGAAATTGATGATGAACAGCGGATATTAATGAGGTTGGGAGTAGTATTGTTTCTTCTGTGGAAAGTGTAGGAGGAGTTGAAGTGGAGAGTGGTTCTGTGAGACGGAGAGTTATGGGGAAAATGAGGAAGGAAACCTGATTGGAGTATTCTAGAAGCTTCCGCCATGGCTAGAGAAGAGAGGTGAAAGAGTAGGAGAGAAGATAAATGAACTATTGCCTTATCTGTTGAAAGGTGAGGTGAGGTGAGGGGATAGCTTTCAAGATTGGTCGTTTTGACAGTTAGAATTTATCTGAATTCTTTAATCGTCAACAATAAAACTTAAGGATTTAAAATTTAAAGTTATATACAATACAATGATAATGAAATATTTTAATTTTGCACATTCAGAGGCGGAGCCATAATTTTAAAGAATTATAGACTTTAAGTACTAATAACGGACTAAATTTAATATTTGTATATATTTAATTAATTTTTAACACAAATACTCCCTCCGTCTCAAATTATCTGTCGCGTTTTTTGTTTTACACCGCTTAAGAAAATAATAATTATGAGGCATTTTTTATTATTTTATCTTGATTTATGTCTTATTGGTACTTGAAGAATCATAATATTACCCCATAATTGAGGTGTTTGTAGTTTTCAAGATAATTACTACTAGGGGTAAAATAAAATAAAAAAATAATTAAGTTTGTTTTGAACTTCTAAGATGATAATAATTTGAGACAACTATTTTTATAAATCACAACATATAATTTGAGATAGAGGGAGTATATTATTTAAGCAAAAGCTAATGACTTGGCCTAATATGTACTCGAGCTTCTAGCTCCGCCCCTAGTGATATCAAATTAATTAGCATCTTTATCAGACTATCAATTATAAATACCCATTTAAAAGATTTATTTATTTATCTACCTAATTGCAAATATATTTTTTCTAGAAAAACTAACTCAAATAATTGTTTGTCTAAAAAAATAGCCGGCAAACGTATAATAAATAATTAGTGTACTATGTATATTGATTAGAGGCTGTAAATAAACTAACCACCCCATTGCTGTTAAACAGTAAAACACAATTTATATAATTGGAAGGAAAAAAAAATCATCCTTATTTGCAGTCCAAGTTAGAACACAAAATATATCTACAAAACGACGACGTTTGTGGTATTCCTTTGAACACACATGATGAGATATTGTCAATTATTTTGGTCCTTCGGAGTAGTTCGCACTTCGCTGGTCAGCGGTTGCTGCATTTTCCTTATTACTCTAAAAATGTTAGCCAATACCAGCGTCATCCCCTCCAACTTTTCTTCACTACTATTTCTTAAAAATAAGAAAGTCAACACTAGAATTTCATTTCCAAACAGTGCAAAAATCAAGAATCCAAAGACCCATTTTTTCAAGAACTCAATCTACAATTACAACTACATAAATACCAAAATTTCAGTATTTGGGAAAAAGGGTCGTCTGTATATATGCCATAGTTCACTAAACTTTCAAAATCAAGAAGATCCAATTATGGAAAAAGATACAGATGTTTCTAATGAGGTAAGTGGTGGAAGCAATAATGGAGCAAGTGGAGGAGACCAATGGGATTGGACGACGTCGTTTTTGCTCTTTGGATTGTGGGGTGGACTCATGTACTATGTTTTCTTCCTTGCTCCTAATCAGACCCCGGTATCACATCGTATTTTTCTGCTAAATATTCTCTTTTCTTGTTTCTTCCGGCTTAAAGTCATGTTTTTTGCATATTTCTACATAGACAATTATCGAGTTATAGTTTATAGTTTATGTGAAGCGTAACCGGTAAAATTGATACTATGAGACCAAGGGTTCAACCCGTGGAAACATACTTTTGCAGGAATGCAAGTTAAGACCGCATTAATACAATAGACCCTTGTGGTCTGGCCCTTGTGGTCTGACCCTTCTCTAAACCCTGCGCATAGCATCCATTTCTTAAATTTAGTGCTCAATTAAACAGGTTCACATGAAATGAAGTGGAGAGAGCAGTTCTCTAGTGTGCTAAAAATAATTGAAATATCAAAGTATGAGAAGATGCTTTGTCAACAAGTACTCCTTTATGATACTTATTTGCTTCACTCTTTACTCTATAGCTCTCTGCTCTGTATTGTATTTTTTTCTTAGTCCTTTTTTAACCTTAAATTTGCAGTTGACAGACATGTATTTCTTAAAGAAACTCCTTAATTTGAAAGGAGATGATGGCTTCCAAATGAATCAAGTGCTAGTGAGTCTTTGGTACCTCATGGGTTTGTGGCCATTAGTTTACAGTATGCTGCTCCTTCCTACCGCTAGAAGGTAAAATCTTGGGTTGTACAGTTCTTGATTTTTTTGTTGGCTCTATATATAATTGAGCCGAGGGTCTATCGGAAACAACCTCTCTACTTCACAAGGTAGGGGTAAGGTCCGCGTACACATTACCCTCCCCAGACCCCACCTGTGGGATTACACCGGGTTTGTTATTGTTGTTGTTGTTCTATATATAATGTGAGATTAAGTCGCTTGGAGTGATCAAGTGTAATTCAAACATTCTGGAGTAACTGTTGTGACTAACACATTAGGAAAAGTACCACATTCAAATTTGTCTAGATTTTCTAGCTTGGACAGCAAAAAAAAAGATACAATCATTCGATATAAAATCTTGTTTTTTCTGCAGTTCAAAGAGCAGCATACCTGTCTGGCCATTTCTCGTACTTTCATTCTTTGGTGGTGCATATGCTCTTATCCCATATTTTGCTCTCTGGAAACCACCTCCTCCACCTGTTGAAGAAACTGAGCTTCGAAGGTGGCCTCTAAATTTTCTCGAATCGAAATTGACTGCTGGGGTAAGGAATGCTTTTGTCTGACTACAGTCTACTTTTTCTAGCTCTAAACCAAAGAATATGGAACAGAAACTCTGTGATATATATAAGCATGTAAAAGATCTTGTTGCAACCGCATCTTATCTGAAGTAAGTAGAAAAAGGAGTAATATCGGACACCTTAAGTGGTAGCACTGTTTTGTATGCTTTTTGATGAAGAGTAGAAGATTAAAATTTTTTAGGGAACTGATCGTAAAGTGCTTTATAGCTTGAGAGATGAACTACTTTTCTGTCTTCTAACTAATGCAAAATCAGGTAACCATGGCTGCAGGGCTAGGGATAATATTTTACGCAGGTTTATCAAATGGAGATGTTTGGAAGGAATTTTACCAATACTTCAGAGAAAGCAGATTCGTAAGTTTCTACTTTAGTGTCTATATTTGATATGCTGCATAACATGTTACCATAAATTTAGCTGTTGAGTTAGTGTCATATTTCATTGTCTGATGGAGTAATGATCTCATCTTTTTTTCTTTTTTTTTCCTATAAGGTTGACTAATGATCTTACTTCGTTGACAATCTTAGTTTCCTGCAAAAACTGGTTAGCGGGTTTGATATTTAAATGAGCAGTTACCTGGTCCAGAAGANGGGAGGCGCTATTCGTTACCCTTTTATCATTAGTTTAGACCATACATGAATGTAAATATTAATCTCATCTTGCAAAAAGGTGATCAAGAATCTAACTAGCTCCTACTATGGCAAAAACATTTGTTAAAATCCAGATTTCAACCTTGTGGATATTTATGCTAATGAGAGATTTCCGTCAATTATGCACACCTTGTGTTAGACATATATAAACCTGACATATTCTTGATTGATCTGCAGATCCATGCAATGTCAATTGATTTCAGTCTACTGTCAGCGTTTGCACCCTTCTGGATTTACAATGACATGACTGCTCGAAAGTGGTAAGCTCATGCTCACAGAAATGTAGTTCCCACCCTATGCAAAATGAAATTGACAGATAACATGTGGTTATATCTCAAGGTATAACAAAGGATTTTGGCTTCTTCCCTTATCGGTGATTCCTTTTCTGGGTCCAGCACTATACCTTCTCCAACGTCCATCTATTCCCACAATGCCAGTCTCATCAAGCCCAACTTCGACTGAAGAAAAATGATCCAAGTCTCTTGCATCAGGATTTCAATGGCGTGGTACATATGAGCGAAAATAAACCTACAGGTGAAACATATCTAAACTAATAGTGCAGAAACTCCTCTCTGCTATTTGTAATGTAAATAGTTCAGCAGTTGAACTGAAGAGTGAAGACCATTTCTGCTGCAAATTCCAAGACTTGTTGCTCTGTCTTCTTTTCTTCTTCTTAGTTCTTTTTTACCACCCTTGCTTTATATAAACCTTGTCACATGTATTCTTGAGATGGTAATTTTCGATTTCAAGTTTATTTTAGTTTCTTTTGTAGTTAAACAGTATTCACAAACACCCTCATAATCGGTAGATGTTATAAATTGAGAAGTCAACTTCCTCTATTATTTCATATCTGTGGAGGCTACTTTGAAAAGTCTTGGTGATAGGTGTACCAGCATTTCGGCCTTTTGGTACTTTAAATTCTCATTTTCAGAATGCCCTCACATGTTAGTATCGAGTTTAAGGGATAGTTTAATACATTTATACAATGATGTCACTTATTAGGTAATTACAGGTAAATATCTTAACAACCATTAATTGATAGTTTGTTAAAAATGATTGCTGACCTGCAACCACAAATACTAATTAGTAGCTGATCGTTTAGATTTGTTTTAGCTGTCCTCCATTTGATATGGTAATATGCTTGTTAAAAAGACTAATCCGACTAGTATTTAGCGTTTCGTGAATGAGGTCATACCAATTTATTTTAGGAAACTTAAAAAAGAATTTAAGAAAGCTAGGAGAGGATCAGTCCTCGTTTACGAAAAATAAAAATAATAGTCAATCAAACCCTCCAAATTAATTGAGGATACCAGCAATAATGATTAGCCTCGCAGATAAATACAATGATAATACTAAAAAGTGAATGGTATTCTACCATCAATACTGAAAGCTTATATATTTCCCTTACAAAATCAAAAGGAAAATCAATACCAAACAATCTAAAGAGCCTCAAACACTTATAAAAGACAAAAAGATCGAATATGTCCTACTTTGTTTGATAGGAAAAACACAAGATGATTTAAGATGGAAGAAGGAAAAGCAAGCCTAGAAGCACATTTTATGACCAATGTTTAAACTAGTTCCAAGGGTAGAATGGATCTATTTGTTTATCCTATACGTTTAAGTGGATATATTAGAGACAAAAAAAAAGTAAATTAGAATTAAATAAAATGATTTTAGATAGTCCTACATTAAGAAATAATAGAGAGAACGGGAACAACTAACTAAATTTACTTCTATCTGAGATATGATTAACAAAGATACTAAATTTGCTTCTATCTGAGATATGATTAACAAAGATACTACCTTTATACCTCTTAACTGATAGAGGGAGCAGATTTTCATTTACCTCACTGAAAAGCTCAATCTACTCAATACAACAAAACTTTATCAAGCTTTCCTGCCGCAAAATTAAATCTGGTGAGTTTTGCCTTTTTACGCTTAGTACAAAATCCAGTATACCTCATTCCTTAAAGGAAGAAGCATATGGACAATATGTATAAACAGCTTTGACATTAATACAACAGCAAACTGAGACAAGTAATTGTGCATCAACAGGAAAATTTGTGCTTATCTTGGGAAGGACCATAGTTTAACTCATCAACAGATATATAAATCTGCAAAATGGGGCATGACTTGGCAGGGAATTAAAAATGATTCACTGATACATCTTTTCTAGCTCATTCTTATATCGAGCCTTCAGGGGTTCTCGCTTCAATTTCAGAGCTGCAGTAACCAATCCAGACTCGGGAGTCCAAGACTCTGGTATTAACTTGATCTTTGCAGGAAGCTCAAACTTGTCCAATTTTGCAGCTTTTGCTACCTGCATATCAGTCGTTTATAAAACCAAAACTTCCAACATACGAGGAAAATAATTTTGACATAGACATCCATTCACTCTGTTTCACCTTGCTCAATAAGAGACTCCATCTCTCACACACATATACACACACCTTATTACTTACATGAGAACAAAGGTAAACTGCTATTGGGAGAAAACTTTCACTCATTATTTGCACAGCCTAGAATAGATCAGCAGCAGAGGCTGGCAACCTTAACTTCTTAATTAGCTTGTGTACCCTGGATATTCTACGGAAACAAGAGCAAGGACAATTTTTACTTCTGAGAGATGGGATATCATCCCAACCAAACAAGGGGAATTTAATTCCATAGAGGGGAAGGCAAGGTGAGCCATTGTGGCAGGGTCTGAACTCTGGGTTACTTGTCAAGGCTGAAATGGTAATCACTAATGGCTGGAATATGGTTAGTAAGGGAGAGCAAGAGGTGGTAAAGGTCGGTTATTTCTTTCTTTTTGTTTAAGTTAAAACATTAACTTTTCTATTTCTTTTTGATGTTTTCTAGTTTTTTCTTTCTTGTTATTTTCTTGGATTCTCTTCCCACTTTTCTGTTCTTTTTAACATATACACAAATTTGGATTCCTTTTAAAGTTAGCAATTGATTCTACATAACTATTCATCACTTGGACTTTGAGACTAGCACTAAAATTTGGAGGAAACGTGTTTTGTTTTTTTTAGCATTTCAAAACTTCGCCGAATTATGTCATCATATTCCTTTCATGTTATCCACAGTCAGCATAACATTCATTTATCATACATAATGCATTTTCAGAATAAAGAAAGACCAATATTTTTGCCAAATTAATACATTACGGTGATTACAAATTGATTCCATGGAAAGGAAACGAACCTTTGAAAGCGATTGCTTGATCTCGTTGACTGCTTCTACTTTGTCGCACAGTTCGGAAAAATCTTTGTGCTGGATGCCATATTCCTGAGCCCATTTCTCAAGCACCGGGCGTGAAGGGACAACTAAAGCTACACAATAATTGTGGAAGGGGTCCGCATAAACCATTATGCTCTCCACATAATTGCTTGATAGAAGTGCTGCCTCAACCTGTGAGTTGAGCATCAATTTATCTGGTTATTACCCGAAGTCAAGACCCAAGGATAAAAAGAAAAGGCCCATGTATGATATATTATTTTCGTCTCCGCTTCTGCCACGTATTGTACAGTTTCATGATCATGAACGGATAAAGGCTAAGTTACAGGCCAAAACTCTAATATCATATCCAATCATAGGATGAAGCGACGAATCTATTAGGAACTGGTTATGCTGCTAAGGGAAACATCAGATTCCGTGTGAATAAAAGAAATTGTGAATACCTTTCCAAGTGAGATATACTCCCCGTGCTGAAGCTTAACAATATCTTTCTTTCTATCAATAATTTCAAGGCATCCATCAGGATGAAACTTTCCAATGTCACCAGTGTAGAACCAGCGCATGCCTCTCTCATCGACCTGTATCAGAGATATTAGCAGCGTATAAAATTTGCAATATACAGAATTCCTCTATTTGTACAAGCAAAATCTCACAACGCAAAACTACCTTATAAACCTCATTGGTTTTGGCCTCATTGTTGAAGTAACCAGCAGTAATGCTGCACCCACCAACAACTACTTCTCCCCGAGGCATAGGCTTGTCAGCTATTGTGTAACCTCCTTCTTCCCAAGTAACAAGCTGCATGGTTTAACACAAGGCTTCACATAAGAAACCCACATGCAGTACCACAAAAAACAGCTAACTCCTTTGTATTTAGCAAGAAAACCATCATCAGGAAAGAAAATAAAGAAATGGGAACAGCCACTATCACTTTCTTGCTATAATGTCTGATTGAAGCTAGTTCTATCCATTTGTCTATTTCCCTTTAATAGGCTACCATGGAAGTCTCCAGATAGGAAAACCACTCTGACAACATTTGAAACTTGAAACTTCATTGAAAGCAAATTTTCGGAGAAACTGTGTGAAAACAATAACCGATCTTATAAACTTATAAGCCATCCGAAGATTCAACGACATTGGAAGGACTGCCAAATTGTATGCCTTAACCATCTAACAAGCCAAGTGCATGTGTTAATTAAGTTCTTGGAACAACTATGCATAAGATCTTACTTACAACATGAGAATATATTTTCCCCCAAAACAACTAAGACTAAATTGATTTTTTAAGACGTTCCAAAATTCTCAACAGAGTACCAAAAAAACTATATACAGTGCATATCGGCCCAAATTTGAACTTCACAGAAATTTCTTAACTGCCACATTAGGTTCCACACTGATGCAGCGCATTGTCAGAGCTGATGTGTACTTATAATACATAAATACTACAAACACGAAAAGTAGAAGCAAAGCTTTGAAATTAGCCACTATCAAAAACTAGTTGCATGAAAACTCAGCTTTATTGTGAAATATATAGCTCCCATGAAGAGCCAATGGAACCACTATCTCATGTTCATGGAAAAGCAGCCAACGCTCCCATCTGTGCCTAGTTGTCAAAAGAAAACCTAGACAATTTCCTGCATTGAACAATTATCCAACACGCAATGACCCACTCCCAAGGGCCTAGTGGAAAGTAGTTCAATAACCTTGTAAGGACCCTAAATTAAGCCATTTCGGAGCGGTCGACCAGTTTAAGTTGGGTTCCAGATTCAACTTATCAACCATGAAAACACGGCGCTAATCAGTTTAGCTCTTAGTTACATTGGAAAAAAGAACTAAACTCATGGAGTACTTTTTTCCCGGTTTTGTTTCTGACAAGCTGAGGTAGTTCTATCAAGCATCAACAATCAGTACCAAGAAGGTACTGCAGAAGAACTAAAATACTCCAACCCTCCAATATATAAGCCGCCACTTCATCCATTATAAGAGTAGAATATTATTTTTGACTTTTGTATTCCCAAATACTAAGTAAAAATTAAAGTAATGGCTGAGAAGTTAGGTTGCTGGAGTTTAAATCTAAACAGTTAAGTTAATTTGAATCTTGAAGCTTGTGAAAATTGTATGAATAATAGTATTATTAGTGAACTAGTGTCAACATTATTGGTTGTTTTAATATAAAAACACTGTTATATAGATAAGGACAGAACAACTACTAAATAGATAACATTTTCAGTATCATACAAGTACTAAATAGATAACCTTTTCAATATCACACGAGTTAGCAGTACTGCTGTCTCAGGAAAGATAGTAATAGGCTGAAGGCGCTAAAGGTAGCCTAGGAAAATGATCCGAACTCAGAAGGCAACAAAAAGTTTATGTATTTCAAAACTTCGGATGGGGGGAATGGGCAAGGCTTTAGGACTCGGTGGTTGAAGGGATGTTCTTTGCAGAGTCGACAGTTGGGATCATTGTAGTGGGATATTTACGCTGGTGCGTGCTGGCCAAGTGGAGCATTTTACAGAAAC